ACAAAGAGAGAGAGAGAGAGAGAGAGAGAGAGAGAGAGAGAGAGAGTTGGAGTGGTGTTGATGATAACTTGGGAAATCGAGAAGACAAGGTTGTCGACTCAGAGAAAGTTGAAACTTATTAGTTTTAAGAGCTACAATTTTAAATCAAAAATCTTATTAAAAAAAGATTGTCATGTGTCTTTTTTCTCCCAAGGAGTGAAAAAGTCAACTTTTCTGTTAAAAATATATTGAGAAAATGATAACAATTTACATCGATAATAAACTAAAATACTTCTATTTACGATATTACCTCAATCTCGTCCCAACAGCAATGCCAATATGTCATCTCCACATTCTTGATGGAAACATGAGCTGCCTTTCTTTTGCCTTATATAAATTTATGTAAACAAAAAACTCAATAATAATGAACAATGAAACAACTGAAAGAAAAGTGGTATACTTTACTATTTTCAAGCATGGTCTGATTTCTTAAATCTATTTGTCCAACCTTGTTGTCCCTTCGTATTCATATGATTAATCCATAATACAACTTCAATCTATGTGTATAAAAAAAAAAACAACCTCAATCTATTTGTTGCTGAAATAGATATATGGCAGTTGGATATACGTTATTATCTTAGTTGCTGATGAGTTTTTTAAAATAATTATCGTAGGAATATGCTGAAACAGAACTGGATATACGTTATTGCCTTAGTTTCTGATGAATTTTTTTATTTTCCATTCTATTACTGAAGATGTAAGCTCTGATTAAAGTGTCATACCCAATCCAAGATATACAGAATTTTTTTACTTATTTTATATTTAATCATTTATTAAATGAACTTTATGTAGTGAAAGTATTTCTTACAAAAATATTAATTTATGATAGATATTATTTATTTATTTTTCTCGTTTAGCAATTAGTATCATTAGTATCATCAAACTTATACGAAATTAGTGGTTTGTCCGTGCTACGCGCGCAATGTATGTTAATTATGTTTTACAATAATTGATCTATAATTGACTTTTTATACTTTAGATTTGTAACTCAAAACATAGTATTAGGTGCATTTTAAACCGTAGTGAAATTTCATGTTAGTGTAATAGTAATGATTGGATTGTTTTTGACATGTGAATAGAAATGCCGAATTGTTTATGAGGAACTGCCAAATATGTGGTTCTTCTTAGAAAACATGTTGTAGCGTATAGACCATTTTGTTTATTTTTCAAGGCATTGTAAGTTTGCAAGGCAGTTGTATTATTTTTGAATATTGTAGTTAGCGAGTGTTAAAGACTTTTATATGAAGAAGACAAATTTTCATTTGTTTGCAATAGTAACCTAAGTTACATCTATTCATAATTATAATGGGTGACATGACATGTTTATTGTTCTCATTGTATTTAGGTAACATAAAAGTTGGTTGACCTGATTTCCGTGGAAAGCTATTTTGATTAGTTACGAACACTAAATTTTACCTTGTTTATCTTTATTACTCACTCTTTTTCAATATAATGAATATTCTAGATTTTCACACATTAAGAAAATATTTAATAAATGCATAAATTTTTTTGATTATCTTTTTTCCATAATATTAAACGAATAAAAATTTAATAATTTCAATTAACCAATATTATTTGATAAAATATGCATTAAATATACAAAAAATAAATGTTTTTGAAACAAATATTTTTTCTAAAATATATAACTTAATGAAACAGAGGGAGTATTAAGTAGGTCCATTTTGTGAGTGTGTAGTTGTTCAAGAATTCAGTGGATGCAATCCAATTAATATTGCGCATGGACTTTAGAGGTCTTAATATATTGTTGTTTTCAGAAATTTATGGATGTTTGTTTTTTTTATTAGTTGTAGGTACAATAAAGAATCAATAGAAATTTTAAGTATTTTTAGTATTTTGAGTATTATTAAAAAAATTTGATATTTGCTTTTGACTATTTATAGTTTTTTGAATATTTTGGACTACTTCACAATATCTTATATATTTTGGATATAAAATCCAAAAATACTAATATTTTCAAGTATATAAATTTGATTCAGATATTCGGATACCAAAATATTTTGGTTCGGATCAGATTTAGATACCGAAATTTTAAACTCATTCAAATATTTAATTAGTTTTGGTTCGGTACTACTTTTTGGATCAGATCCACTTTGGTTCTTCGGGTTAGGGCTTTTTATCCAGCTCTAGGAATTCAGTTGACTATATGACAATAAGATTAGGCATGTTTATAACGTGTACATCATGAATGTATGTGAGAGTGAGTAGATTTGTTTTTAACCTAGGGGGAGTGAGAACGTATGCATTAAACTCAGCAACTGTAACAGTTTTATGAACACCACCGTACTTGAACACCTCTGGCGGCGAATTTTTGGATGACAACTAACCTTCCGGTGAGTTTATTTATTTACCATCAACCGTTTAAACGTAAAGTTTTATTAATAAAATAAAATTCCTAGACATTAGCTCAATGTACAGATGTTGACTTGCCCAATATATTTCTCATACTTAATATTGTGTCTCACAGATGTCGCATTGAGAAACACACGGCCTACCAAAAAAAGTCAGATATCCTAGATTGCATATTCCTGAGACCAACCATAGGGATATTGAAGAACGCATGAATATGGATACAATTTCCACATTTGGTCAACAACTATAAATAAGCGAGACATAATGTTACCTCCCACAAGTTTAGGATTAATTGTAGGGTCCACCACCGCCAAAAATGGAAAAAACTACTGTGGAGCTCCACCAACGGACATGAATGGAGGGTGGTCTTGAAAATACCGGCAGAACGGTGGATACCAATCAAGGTCAAGGTGGTGGGATGCAGCAGCAGCTTTACCCCGCCCAGTAAGGACCAATACCATTGTTAAGTGGCTTAACCTCCTTGGGTATTCATGTGTAGAAGTTGTTCGTCAGTTGTCACTCTGGTTTGTGTGAGAGACCGAGAGTTAGTTTAATAACTTCTGCATTAGTTAAAGGAGCACTGTTCGGGTAGGAGTTGGTGTTTATCATGTATTTTCAGTCTTTTATCAATAAAGGGACCGTTCTTAAAACTATAAGTTGAAAAAGGTTAATCAGAATTTATTGATTTCAGGGGAAAAAATACCAAATCTTGATGGAAACGATTTCCTCGTTGGTTCTTGGCAGCATGGACCATATCATCAAGTGAAATATCTCCTCTTCTTCTCTCTTTCCTTATCAGTTAGTTTTTCAAGCTTGGCTGCAACTGAAACCACCATATCCTTTTCCAATAGCAATTTTACCATGACTTGTTTTCTTCTTGTGAATCTGACAAGACAAATATACAAAACCAAAGAATCATCAAGTTAGATTCTTGTTTTGTCTCAGGCATCCAAGGAATAGTTTATTTTACCTTTGTTAGTCTCTTCTTCAGTTTAGAACTTGATGTGGTTGCATTCTCCTTGTTCTGTTTTGGTTTTCTAGTCCTTCCTTTAATTTGGTCTCTCTCTCTCTCTCTTGATGTTCTTTCTTTCTTTCTACAACTCTTCTCATCTTCTCTTCTTGGCGTGTGCAACTTATTTTGCTCTCATCTTTTTTTTGTTCTTTGTTCTTGCTTTCTCTTCAGCCAATTTAAGGCTATCAGATGAAATCTCTTGTTTTCCTTTTTCGTAGCTGTCCCAATCAAGTTCTACTTCGTCACTTCCTCCTTCCCTTGCAGCTTCTGTAATGTTTCCTGGCGACAATGAAGTGCCTTAGTCGCTTGGGTCTTGACCTTACAGCCAAAATTACTTTCATTGAAGCTCTCATCTTCTCTTTGGTTTCATCACTGCAAGAGACAAATTCAGAATTTTTAAGTGTGGTGTATATAAAATTAAATAGTTATAATACATGTAAACAATGAATTGTGAGCTAGTATACACAGTAAGACACACCATAGATTCTTGGATAGAAGTGTATTTAGACGTTGTGAATATTCAGGTTTGGTTTTAGAAGACCAATACATTTAAACATTGTAGAGATTGCACATATGATTACTAACTTGTTGGTGTTCGCCTCTGGATTCTTTCTTATAAGATTAAGAGATTGTTATTAGAAAGTTATTGAGATATTGTCCTGTCATTCCCTGCAATATACATTCATAGGATTAGTTGATTGAACAACTATTTATGTTAAATATATTGGGAGTTTGGGACTTTCTGGTAGCCATAATTTTTAAAGTGAGAACCACGAAAGAAGTTAAAAATAAATATAATTACCTCAATAGCAGCATGAAATGTGCCACAGGAGCCATAGCTGATAAACCAAAACCACGTGAGTTCATCTCGCATGATCTGAAATGAACTTTTTCAAAGAAGAGAGGGACATGACTTACCTAGTCATCATCTTCCTTGCTTCAGAGTTCAAAGCTCAATGAATCTACATCCTTGGTGAAGATTTATCACCCTATCTTTCAGGACATAGACGTTAACTAAATGAAGACTACACGGCGTCTGACTCTTCAACTCCTACTTCAAAATGTAATAAACCCTAATATGAACATGGTCTTTTAAATTAAAACAAAAAATCCACCTATTTAATCATATGATAGACTATATAAATAAGAAAATCAGAGAACCTGTAAAAATAACAAAATCGGACGATAGTGAAAATTTTAAGATGACAAGTGGCAAAAAATTGCTCCATATTCTCTTGGTAATGTGAACATGTTAAGAATAGATTAAACTCAAGTTTATTATATAAGATTTTGGAGTTTGAATCCGACGGCTATAATAGCACCCACTAAATCCAACGGAGTACACTGTTACGAAAACGTTCTTTAGATCTGACAGTATGTCATTACATATTTGTTGAGTCCATATTCGTAGTTTTATCCATTGAACTGACGCCACGTCATTTCAATGACAACTAGATCTGACGTGTATGTCACTCATTGGCTAACGTGAGAAAGCCACGCGAGCGTCTACTTCACTTGCAGCTTCTTTAGGTATATATAAATTTTAGCTCTTGTGCAGGATTATAGCATTTTCTGTTTTCGGGGAAGCTCCGATCTGAGTTTTTAGCGATGGCGAAACTAAACCCTAGCTTAATCTCTCTGATTCTTATCGGTCTCGTCGCGATCGCCTCTGCTAGTGTTATCTTCGAGGAGAAATTCGATGGTAGCTACATTTCTCTCTCTACTTTTTATCTGAGATTTTTAATTGTCAATGGATGTTCTCCGATCGCTACGTCTATACGTTTCGATCAGATGATTCTGTGTTCATCCATGTTTGCTTTGAATAGATAGAAATTTTTCGAAATGTATGGTGACCAGACGATTGTTGGTAGATCTATGCATTTTGTGGATCGGTGTTGAGGGAAATGCCGCAAGATTGTGATGATCGGTTATAGTAAACGGTTTTTGAGATTGCTTATCTCAGTTAGTTGTTTTGCTTAGATTCATATCAAGTTATCTCGTATGTGAAAGAACCTTCGATTTAGGAAGTAGACTGATTATCACATGACATATTTTTGTGATTAATTTGTTCTGTTGTTGTCTCTGCTTTGAAAGACGGATGGGAGAAGAGATGGGTGAAATCTGACTGGAAGAAAGATGACAACACTGCTGGGGAATGGAGCCACACTGCTGGCAATTGGTCTGGTGACGCCAATGACAAAGGTATCCTTCAGTACTAATGATAGTGATTCATTGGTTCTCGTCGTATTCATAAACTCTTGGGCAATGATCACTCTCTTGCAGGTATTCAAACTAGCGAGGACTACAGATTCTACGCCATTTCAGCTGAGTTCCCTGAGTTCAGCAACAAGGACAAGACCCTTGTGTTCCAATTCTCTGTCAAGCACGAGCAGAAGCTTGACTGTGGTGGTGGATATATGAAGCTTCTAAGTGATGATGTTGACCAGAAGAAATTCGGAGGAGACACACCTTACAGGTAAATTTTCTTCCATCATCAACATCAGACATTTAAACATAATGCTTATCTTCTCTTTTACCTGCAGCATCATGTTTGGCCCAGATATCTGTGGCTACAGCACTAAGAAAGTACATGCTATCCTTACCTACAATGGAACTAACCATCTGATCAAGAAGGAGGTCCCATGTGAGACTGATCAGCTCACCCATGTGTACACATTCATCCTCCGCCCAGATGCTACTTACAGTATTCTTATCGACAATGTTGAGAAGCAAACTGGTAGCCTCTACTCTGACTGGGATCTCCTCCCAGCAAAGAAGATCAAGGATCCAAGCGCCAAGAAGGTATCTAGTATCTCCCAGCAATAGTTATCTCCTCTACATGGGGTGATACAAGTTCTCATAAAACTGAGTCTCTGTTTTACAGCCTGAGGACTGGGATGACAAAGAGTACATTCCTGATCCAGAAGACACAAAGCCAGCGGGATACGATGACATCCCAAAGGAGATCCCAGATACTGATGCAAAGAAGGTTTGAACCTTCTTCTGGCACTGTATTAAAATTAGTCTAACTCACTTTCTCGTTTTGATTTTGGATTCTTTGTTTTTAGCCTGAGGACTGGGATGATGAAGAAGATGGTGAGTGGACTGCCCCTACCATTCCCAACCCTGAATACAACGGTGAATGGAAGCCCAAGGTTTGTTGGTTTTTCAGTTGAACAGAGTATTTAAGATGGTACAAGCTGTTTAATCTCTGTTCTCACGGTTGTAATATTGTTGTGTAGCAAATCAAGAACCCTAACTACAAGGGAAAATGGAAGGCTCCAATGATTGACAACCCTGGTAAATATTCTCTCTGAACCGTTTCATAAATGACAATATCCATAATATTTATATTTTAATTATATAAGAAATTCGTAGTCTCTTGGCTCTGAGATTGTTGTACAATTCTTGTAATGAATTGCAATCTCACACGATCTTGGCTTATCTAGAAATCCATGTTTTATATACTTAACTGAAGATTATATCAATATAACACAGAGTTCAAGGATGACCCAGAACTCTATGTGTTCCCCAAATTGAAGTATGTTGGAGTGGAATTGTGGCAGGTAATAGCAATATCTTGTGACAGAAACATTTGCGTCTTTCATGATGGTATATGTTAGGGACTAAACACAGCCTTTATTCTCTAGGTGAAATCTGGATCATTGTTCGACAATGTCTTGGTCTGCGATGACCCAGAGTACGCTAGGAAATTGGCTGAGGAGACCTGGGGAAAGCTTAAGGATGTATGTTATTAAGTCTTTACGTGTTGCTTTGTGTGGTTAATGATAATATATAGCTAATCGAATCTGCTGTTACAGGCTGAGAAAGAAGCATTCGACGAAGCTGAGAAGAAGAGAGAGGAAGAGGAATCAAAGGATGCTCCTAAAGCTGATTCTGATGTACTGGTTTCACAATACTCTCTTTATATTATTAACAATAACTTCTTTGATATGCTATAAATTTGTTTTTTTTAATATAGGCTGAGGATGAACAAGAGGATGATGACCAAGAAGGAGATGACTCAGACGCCGATTCAAAACCTGAGGAAACCAAGGAAGAAACCTCCTCAGAGAAGGATGACGCCGCCGCTCATGTATGCCTCTAACCAAAAATATTTAAAGAAGGGTATTGTTTAGCTATGTGCTGACTAACTCTGATTATGAATTTTCTTACTTGGTACAGGACGAACTTTAAGCTGAAGAATGTCGAGATTAAAGATCCAAGCTTTCAGAGTCTTATTGTTTTTCATTTTTACCTTTATGTTTTTAAGGAACTATTTTAGCTCTAGTCTGTTTGGGGTATTAGAGAAATTGTGAGATGGGCGTGGCAGCTTATTTTAAACTTGATAAATTCCTGACTTTCGTATTCTCTCTTCTTCTGTATTTCTGCGGATCAACAATAGATTCGATAAATTGCACCTATTAGATAAAAAAAGGAAGAAAGGGAGGGAGATGTTGGAGAGAAATTCCATCTCCCTACTTATTGTCGTTCGCAATCCGACAGATATTAGGTGTGCTGGGAAGACGAATGGTTTAAAGGGCGACCAATCGGTTGATTGTCACAATTGATCGACCTAATCGGGTAATGATGGTCCGGTCGGCTTATCCCTAACTCGTAAAAGCTCATTAAACGAGTTCAGGCCAGAACTTCTTTAAGGCGAACAAGCTTTTGGTCAAACATGAATTATAAAAGGAAGAGAAGGGACAAAAGGAAAAGGATCCGAAAACTGAGACAAGAATACTGACGGTAAGGTTTAGGGTTTTACCATCGATCAAACCTCCTTGTGATCTCGTCAGACTTACACAAAGCTCCGACCTTTGTTATTTTCCTTGAATCTCTGTGTAATCTTCTCTTGTTATCAACTCTGATTAATAAAACGTCTTTGAAGAACCCACAAATCAAGTTTAGTTTCCAGTCAATTGACCTAACGAAACTTGGATTCAACAAAGACCGGTCGCCGCAACTCCGGCGACCGACGATATGATGCAGCGCATAATGAGCCACTTCGAACGACAAGAGAAAACCAACAGAGTCATGAACGAATGATTAACCGCGCTCGCTGCTGCTCTCGCCGTAACTGACAGTGAAGTCGGAGACGGCCAAACGCCAACTCTTTGCTACAACAAATCCGATGCTTTCCGGCGCTGGTTTATCGAAACCAACCCCGCCGGTCAAACTACCGGCGGACTGGACGCCGCCACAAAACTCCAGATCGACGAGCTGAGGATGACGGTGCAGGATATCCACTCTAAGATACACCATGTCACTACCTCCACCCCAGAGATCGAACGCGTCCTTGCTACCACGCTAAGAAACCCATTCACGAAGCGGATCACAGACACCAAAATCAAAAAGATCAACAAGCTCCGTCTGTCTCTCAGCATACACCGGCGAGACAGATCCGATCAACCATGTGACAGCATTCAATATAGCGATGGGGAGGGCGAACTTCTCCGACAAGGAGAGGGACGCCGGTTTTTGCCAACTCTTCATCAAGTGCCTATTTGGACCAGCACTGACTTGGTTTTCATGACTAACCGAAGGATCGATCGACAATTTTCTACGACCTGTCCGTGCAGTTTTTGAAACATTACATTATGTTCACTCGACAAGGAGCAACCTCAGCGAATTTATGGAAGATGTCTCAATCGGCCTCCAAGAGCCTCAAAGACTTCATGGAAAAGTTCAAACAGGTGCTAACATAGATTGAGATTTCCGATCAAACGGCCATCGAAGCTCTACGAATTTTGTTATGGATCCACTCCAAATTTAGGGACGATCTCTACTCTAATCCCACGATTTCCCTTCAGAACGCGCTACAACGTTCCGAAAACTTTATCCTGATGGAGGAGGACAATCGATCGTTCATCAAAAAACAAAACGAGCTGAAGCAGGCCGTTTTGAAGGCGGCCGAAAGTCACCAAGAGCTTATGCAGCACGCATCCTACAATAAGCTGGATAAGAAGAAAGGCCTCATTAACACCATCCTAGACGATAAACAGCCAGACCCGGCGTTAGCTGTCCGAGGACCACGGAGCAACAAGTGGACGTTAGAAGTCGAGGGAAATAAGCAGGCCGCCTGAGCAAATCCTGCCAATAGCATATACGACGCAACCAAGTGGTGCGGCTACCACAAAGCGTATGGACACGAGACGAAAGAATGCAACCATCTCAAAAACCTCCTCATAACGAGCTTCGTCGAGCAACATGCTTACCCCGAACCCCCAAAGCAACAGCCCGAGGAATATAGCAAAGGCGCGGGAAAGAGTAAAGATAGGAAGGGCAAAGATTGCAGTAATTCAGCCGATCGATCGCCCTCCAAGAAGGATGCCGCTCCCTCTTTGCACGAAGACGAATCAGACTTTGACGAAGAGAAACTCACGTCCTGCCGGAAGATTTTCACAATCAGGACGGCTCCGCTCCTTCTTCGCCAGGCAACAAATCGATGAAGGAAGGATAACCCGATCCGTCTACGTCGGAAGACACGCAGGAGAATGACCCACAGTCGCAACACGATCTGGTTGAATCCCTCAAACACAAGAATGGGAAGATAATCAAAAAACCTTTTCCTGCAGACCTGCGGATGACGATCGAAACCTCGAAAGGCAGGAAGATGAATACAATGGACGTCCGCCATAGGCTTGGTGCTAAAAAAAAGACCTTCGATCGATAATCAACTCCATAGTCAGTGATCTGCGCGACAAGCTCAATCGATCAACCCCCAAGCAGGACGAAACAACAGGGGACCTACCTGCGCTGTTAAACGATGCAAAGTCGAGACGTTTAAACACGCCCGAGCGATTGAACATAATCTTGGGAGGATCACCCCCTAATATCGACTCAGTTCGTTCAGTCAAAGAATTTCGCAGGAAGGCAGTCGCCGCAAAGAACCAGTGCGAACGTTCCCCAGATCACCTTCTCTGCTGAAGACGCCCCAGGAGTTCACATGCCCCCATAACGATTCCCTCCTCATCGAACTAAGAATTGTTGATTGCGAAGTAACTAAAGTCGTCATCGACACCAGAAGTTTGGTCGACCTCATCTTCAAGGATACTCTTGAAAAAATGAGAGTTGATCTCCGCACAATCAAGCCTTCCGCATGATCCCTGACAGAATTCAACGGATCATCATAAACGATGCTCGGTACCATTCGGTTACAGGTCCACGTTCAAGGCGTGAACAAGAATGTCAAATTCTCGATAATCAACATGAAAACTCCGTAAAATGCGATCCTTGCCACACCGTAGATCCACACGATGAAGGCAATTCCATCGACTTACCACCAATGTTTCAAGTTCCTTGGTACAGACGGACGAATAATCACTTTCCACGGTGATCAGGCCGCAGCCCGCGAACTGCTCGTTGCGGAGATAACGCTCCGCCGTTCGTCATCTCATGTGAACGCCATCGCCAAACCAATTCAGAAGATCCTTCCCTTCAAGGAGGAGATCCTGGAAATACCCATCGACGGAAACGATCCAAGCAAGATCGTCCAGACATGCGCTTACCTGCCGGACGACACCAAGGATATGATTATTTCTTCTTAAAGGAAAATGCATCGAATTTCGCATGGACGACTGCCGATATGAAAGGGATAAGCCCTTCCATTACGACTCATGAGCTGAACGTTGACCCAACATTCAAACCAGTTCTGCAGAAAAGGAGAAAGTTGGGCCCCGAGCGTTCGAAGGCGGTAAACAAAGAGGTCGACCGCTTGCTCAGCGCATGGTCGATCACCGAAGTCAAGTACCCCAAATGGCTAGCGGACCATGTGGTTGTGAAAAACGAAGACTGGGAAATGGCGCGTGTGCATCGATTTCACTGATTTGAACAAAGCTTGTCTGAAGAATAGCTTCCCACTCCCACATATCGATCGCCTAGTCGAGTCCACAGCCGGAAACGAGTTATTTTCATTCATGGATGCTTTCTCGGGATACAACCAAATCATGATGCATCCTCATGATCGGGAAAAAACGGCATTCATCACAGACGTAAGGACATATTGCTATAAAGTCATGCCATTCGGCCTCAAGAACGCAGGCACAACCTATCAGCGCCTCGTCAACAAAATGTTTGCCAATTGACTGGGAAACACAATGGAAGTCTACATTGATTACTTGATGGTTAAATCTCGCCTGGCGACCAACCACCTTAGTCACTTGGTCGACTGCTTTCGAATGCTGAACGAGTACGGTATGAAGCTCAATCCGGCTAAGTGCACATTCGGGGGTTACATCCGGTGAATTTCTTGGTTACATTATAACACAAAGGGGAATTGAGGAAATCCGAAGCAGATCTCCGCGATCCTAGATCTCCCGAGCCCCAAAAACAGTCGAGAAGTGCAGAGGTTGACGGGACGAGTGGCGGCGCTCCATCGATTTATTTCACGGTCGACCGACAAGTGCCTCCCTTTCTACAACCCATTGTGTGGCAATAAGAGGTTTGTTTGGGACGGGAAGTATGAAGAGGCGTTCGGCCAACTGAAACACTACCTCACGATGCCCCATGTGCTGGCTAAACCAAAGAAAGGGGACTCGCTTTATCTTTACATCGTGGTCTCTTCGATAGCCATTACCAGCGTCCTCATCAAGCAACATCGTGGCGAGCAGCAGCCGATATTTTACTGATGCTGAGACGCGGTATTCAACCCTCGAGACGATGTCCCTTGCGGTTATTACTCCGGCGAGAAAGCTCAGGCCTTATTTTCATTCCCATTCGATCGTTGTTTTAGTCAATCAACCTTTACGCACAATCATGCAGAATACCAACCAGTCGGGCCGATTGTCTAAGTGGACAATCGAACTCAGAGAGCATGATGTCACATACCAAGGCAAGCCGGCCGAAAAATCCCAAATTCTAGCCAATTTTATAATCGAGCTCTTGCCGGAGCTCGAGCAAGATCTCGTCTTGCCAACGGGTATCTGGATACTGCATGTTGATGGATCGTCCTCAACAAAAGGGTCCGGCATTGGCGTCCAATTACAATCACCAATGGGTGAATTGATACACCAATCGTTACGATTAGATTTCAAATCCTCCAACAATAGGGCAGTGTATGAGTCTCTCATTGCTGGGCTACGTCTCGCCAAAGCTGTTGGAGCCAAGCGGATTCACGCATATTGCGATTCTCAGTTGGTCGCTAATCAGTTCAGCGGAGACTACGACGCAAAGAAAGAACGAATGGATGTATATCTCCGAGTAGTTCAAGACCTCATCAAAAAGTTTGAGTCCTTTGAACTAACAAAAATTCCACGCGGGGAGAACGTTTGTGCCGACGCCTTAGCAGCGCTCGGTAGTAACCCCCGTGATCAAGTGAGTCGTACGATACCTGTCCAACATATCGAACGACCTCAACATATCGAACGACCAAGTATTTTGTCTTCTTCAGAAGACGACGCAGTCGTAGCATCGATCGCCAAAACCAATGATATGGTGATCGACGGGCCGACCGACGGAGTGAGCGAACAGCCTCTCGATTGGAGAATCCCCTTCCTCGACTATTTGATGAACGGAGCATTGCCAACGGATAAGTGGGAAGCACGCCGATTGAAATCCAAGTGTTCGAACTACATCTTTATGGACGGAAAACTATATCGCCGGACAGCCGACAACGTCCTTCTAATCTGCATCCATGGCGAGGAAACTCGTTTAGTCATGGCCGAAACCCATGAAAAAGAAGCCGGCAATCACTCTGGTGGGCGAGCGTTAGTCCTGGAGATTAAGGGTCTATGTCATTTCTGGCCGAGCATGGTCGCTGATTGCGAGGCTTACTCTCGAAACTGCGATCAATGTCAGCGCACGCATCGAGCATACCTTCGCCAACAAAGCTATTGCAAACGATGGCAGCACCTTACCCATTCATGCGGTTGGGAATG